CGGTGTTGAGAGCCGACGCCTTTAGCCACTGGACACAAAACGTGTGGGGGGGCAGCTACCTTCTCAAGGGGCCTAATGGCAACATCCGCCAACATCGGAAGTCTGGACACCAGAGAAGATGACTTTGTCACTGCCGCCCCACGCAGAACGGCTGGCCTGGCTGACCGGTTTCACCGGGTCGGCGGGCATCGCCGTGCGGTGAACACGCTCTCGGCAGTCACCGGCGGCCCTTGGACGCCACGCCCTCGCAAAGCAAGGCGGACACCAGCGCGCTGGCCTCCCTGCTCTCCACGGTGGACGGGTTGGACACTCCACTGGAGGTGGACACCAAGATAGCAAATGCAGTGCTGGGCCTCGCCACCGAGGCCTTCGTCGCAGCGCAGCTTGCTAGCCGGGACACCGGCATCTCGGCGCTCCAGGCCTCCAAGGCTGACGCGGCGCTGCTGGCCTCATACGCCACGAACGCCGCGCTCTCCGCCAGCGAGACCACGCTCCAGAGCGCCCTCGACGCAATCCTCGCGGAGCTCGCCGCCCTGCAGCTTCCCGGAGGCGGAGTTGTTAACGCGCCGGCCTGGGCGGGCTTCACAACTTGGGAGCTCCTTCGCGGAAGCAACGTCGTTCGCAACCTGCATCTGGAGGCTCCTCTCTCTGCTGCGCTGGCCAACGGCGACGACACGCTGAGCATCACGGCAGACTGCTACTCCGTCGCAGCGGCGGACGCGGCCCTCGCGGCTGCGCTGCTGGCCTACTACACCTCCTCACAAGTGGACACTCTGTTGGACGACTACCGAACCGGAACGGCGCAGGACACGGAGACGACCAGCGCCATCACGGCCGCGCTGCTGGCCTACTACACCGCGGCGCAGGTAGACGCGCTGTTGGGAGACTACCGCACGGCAAGCGCGCAGGACACGCAGACGCAGGCCGCCATCGCGGGCGCGCTGCTGGCCTACCGGACAGGCCCGGACCAGGACGTCTTCACAACCAACCAAATCACCTCGGCGCTGGTGGCGCACCGCTCAGCCGCAGACCAGGACACGGCAACGGCCTCGAGCATCGCAGCCGCGCTGCTCAGCTACTACACCATCACGCAGGTGGACGGCCTCCTTGCCGGCAAGCTCGGAGTCACGGAGGCGGCCTCGGCCCTGCAAATAGCCGTGCGCTTTCCGGACGACGGAGGGGCCGACGAGGTGGTGGCCGCCATAGGAGAGCAGATCCTGGCCCCCACAGACGTCTCACTCTCAAACTGGACGGTTCGCCCCAGCAGCGGCTGCAGCGTGGTCCTGGCCACGCACACCGCGGGAGTGAGCGTGGACGGCTACACTCTGACCCTGGCGGCGAACCCGTGGAACATTGTGCGCACCTACAACCTTGACGCCCGGCCGAGAGCTCCTCTTCGCCTGCCGCTACCGGCTCGGCACGGCCTCTAACTTCGTGGTGTACATGTCCGAGGCCGACAACGTCTACGACCCATTGTACGGCAGCTTCGCGGGAGACGAGGGCGCCTGGAGCACGGCCAAGATGTACTTCACCGTGCCGCCAAACGGAGTGGCGAAGCTGCACTTCGGGGCGCACTTCCAGGCGCCGGGCCTGCCCAACCAGACGGCAGGAACGGTGGACGTGTACGGCCTCCAGATCCTGGACGCAACCCTGGAGGCCGGCAACTCGGAGGAGGAGGACACGGCGGCCTCGGCCCTGCTGCTGAAGCACGAGTTCCTTGACGGAGGGGCCGACGACGTCACGCTGGCCACCCTGGGCAAGGTGCTGCTGGAGCCCACGCTCACCACGCTAGGAAATTTCCTGGTGCGCTCCAACAGCCAGAGCTCCGTGGCCTCGGCCAGCTTCACGGTGGGAGGCTTCCAGCTGGAGGGCTACGCCATGACCCTGAGCGCCTTCGCCTGGAACATTGTGCGCACCTACACGCTGACGCCGGGGAGACGCTACTCCTTCGGCTGCCGGTACAGGCTGGGCACGGCCTCCAACTTGGTGATGTACGTCAGCGCGGCCGACAACGACTACGTGGGCGTCACCGGCACCTTCCTCGGCACGCCCTCGCAGGGCGTCTGGAGCACGGCGCGCCTGGACTTCTCGGTGCCGCCGGGCGGAATCGCGAAGCTGCACTTCGGAGCCTTCGGCGGCTCTATCCCGGGCTGGTGCAGCAGTCGGCGGGCACGCTGGACCTGTACAGCATGCAGATCAGGGCCAGCGCCTTCGAGGGAGAGTCTGTCTCAGTAACGGACCTGCTGGCGGACTCGCTGGCCCTCACGGGCTCGGCCACGCTGGACGGGCTCACCGCGCAGGGCAACGTGGGCTGCGACCAGCTGCTGTGCAACGACGTGAGCTGCACGGACGTGTTCACCACGGGCGTGGACGCCTCGGGCGCAGTCTCCTGCGCAGCGCTCACAGCCACAGGCACCGTCGCCGGAGCCACGCTGTCGTCCACAGGGGCCGTGTCAGGCAGCTCGCTGAGCATCACGGGGGCGGCCAGCGTGGGCCTGCTGAGCTCGGCCACAGGAATCACGGGCAGCACTCTCACCATCAACAACACGGCCAACGCCGGGAACTTCACCACGGTGGGCGACGTGTCCACGGGCACGCTGACGGCCTCGGGCGCAGCAACCGCGGCGAGCTTCGCAGCCACCGGGGCGCTCACGGGCGCCACGCTGACCATCACCGGGGCGGCCTCCGCGGGCCCGCTGGACTGCGAGAGCCTGGACTGCACCTTCACGGCCACGAGCGGCGGAGTGTCGACGGGCAGCGTGGTCTGCGGCGACGTGACGAGCTCGGGCACGGTCTCCGCGCCGCAGCTCTTCGCGTCCAACACGCTCACCGTGACCAACACCTCCGACTTCTCGGACGATCTCTTCCTGACGAAGAACTGGGCGGGCTGGAGCAAGCTGCAAGTGTCCAACAACAGCGCGGCCCCCCGACAGCGGCCCGGAGCTGCGGCTGCTGGGCAACCAGAGCGCGCGGGTCTTCCTGGAGCGGGACGGCGGGGCGCACCAGTGCGAGCTCATCATGATCAACGACGAGGCGCTGGTGCAGACGAAGAGCCTCTCCACGCAGCTGTCCCTGACCACGAACCAGAGGAACCCCGGCTGCCTCGTGATCGCGGGCAACACGGGCAACGTGGTCTGCAACACGAGCTTCACGGACTTGTCGGACAGCCGGGTGAAGACGGAGATTGCCGAGGCCGACGTGGCAGAGCTCAAGCAGCTCTTCGACTCCGTGGAGGCCAAGCAGTACAAACGCCCGGACATGAACGGCGACCTGAGGCTGGGCTTCGCCTCGGACGACTTCGCAGGAACAAAGTGGAAGAATTTGACGGGGACCACGCGGTGGAGCGACGGCACGGAGATGGTCACGCTTGACTACTCGCACCTGACCAGCGTGCTCTGGGGGGTGTGCAAGGGCTTCCAGGCCCGGCTGGACGCACTTGAAGCCTGGCAGGCCCAGCGGGGGCCGAAGAACAAGTAAAAAATGGAGGCGCTGACAGACCTGGCCGACGACTTCAACGTGCGGGACCCGCGGAAGCTGTACCGACTCGCGAGGCAGCGCGACCTCGACGTGACGCAGGCCATGGCCTTCGAGGCGCTGAAGGCCGACGTGGGCCGGCAGGTGCAGGCGCCCCGGCCGCGCGCGCTGGGCAAGTCGGCCGCCGAGGGGCCGAACGACCGGCTGCAGGCCGACCTCATCGACTTCAGCCAGAACACGCGGGGGAAGACGAAGTACGGCCTGGTGGTGATGGACGTCTTCACCCGGGAGGCCGCCGTGGAACCTCTGCAGAACAAGAACGCCGAGACGGTGGGCCGGGCCACCAAGCGCGCCGCGAAGGAGCTGACGGGGGACGACAAGAACTTTGTGGTCACGACAGACCTGGGCAACGAGTTTGCCACGCTGGACCGGGAGCTGCCCGAAGCCGTGCACCGGACGAAGCGGCCCGAGGACCGCAACGCCATTGCCGTGGTGGACCGGGGCATCCAGACCCTGAAGAAGGACCTGGCCACTCGAGTCGCCAGGAAGGGCGGTGGGTGGAGCCAGCACCTCGAGCAGGTGGCGGACGCGTACAACGCTCGGCCCCACGAGACGGTGCACGCTGCGCCGGAGGACGTCGAGAAGCAGCCGGCCACGGAGTTCCGTGTGCTCCAAGACAACGCCGACCGGTTCCAGCACAACAAGGACCTCACGGAACGCCGCATCAAGGCCATAGAGGACGCGGGCGCCTTCCGAGCGCCGACGAACGCGGCGAGGAGCTTCAACCCTCAGTACGGCGACGTGCAGCAGCTCGCGGTCGTGGACTCCATGACCGTCAGGGGCACCGAGGGCCGTGAGACTCTCCTGAAGCTGGCCCTGCCGGCTCCCCAGGGCAGCGGCAACGCTGCGGGGCGGCTGACGAGGCGCGGCAGGCCCGCTGCGGCGAGGCAGCTGGACGACTTCTTGGGGCAGCCCCGCCGGCCCAGAACCATCGACTAGCTTTGGTACGGTTGATATTCTGTACGGCTGATAGTACCTTTGAGCCAAAAGCACAACCGCTTCTCCAGCTGGCGACTTTGTAGCACTGCGAGCCAAAAGCACAACCGCTTCTCCACCTGGCGACTTTCTACCACTGCAAGCCAAAAGCACAAACGCTCTCCAGCTGGCGACTTTGTAGCACTTCGAGCCACAAGCACAAACGCTCTCCAGCTGGCAACTTTGTAGCACTTCGAGCCAGAACGCGCATTTAGGGGGCACCCCCAAAGAACAGCCGCAATGCGGTTGGGGAGAAACCATCGCGTCTTAGTGGCTTATTAGGGGGGTGGAGGACTAGGCGTTTTGCAGGCATCTCTCTCTCTCTCTCTCTCTCTCTCTCTCTCTTTGTGTCTTCTTCTGATACATGCTGCAATGATCACTGTGGCAAGTCTGGCATGTGACAATGTGAATTCCAACTCTTGGCTTCTGTGACTCTACACTCCATCCTTGCAACAAGGCGGTCTCGGCAATAGGCAAGCTCAATTGTTTTTCCAACCACGATTGGTTTCATCCACGCGTCACACGCGACACAATCACCGTGTCAAGCATGATCCGCTCTGTATTCTACATCATGTAGAGATGTAGAGATGTCGCACGGACACATTGAATTAATTCACTGCGACCAAGAGCCGCAGACGGATGTCTGTCAAGCGCTGCAGCCCACTTGCGCAATACATTTGAAATGGCGCTGTAAGCTGTATTTTATACTAGACAGCCATCCGGATTTGGAAAATCAAAACTCTACGCAGACCCTTTGGGCTGATTGAAGCACTGGTTTTCGTTCAGGAACTTGGCCACGTAGCGGCCATTGTGCTTGTGGCGTAGCATTGCCTGCTTGAAGTGACTGCCGGCGGCCGAAACGCCGACGTTCTTTGTCCTGGCGAAGGCAACCCAGGCATCCGACACCACTCCGTAGCCCGCACACTCCATGGACGGCCTCGAGGCCATCTCCCAGGTCTCAACGAAAGACTCCCACACAAACTCCACTGAGTCGCCTTGCAGGTAGCTGCGCGTGGCCTGCTCCACCCACAGCGGCCACGGTCGAACCAGAGTGTCCTGCACAGCGCCGAAGACCTTGAACACCTTGAGCAGCACGTAGAGAAGGTCTGGGCTGTTGTCAGCGAGCCTCTGCTCGTCCTTGAGCCCGACCTGCACCAACCGCTCGTGGCTGGCACGCGGCACCTGGCAGAACTGCATCGGCCATTCTGCCACCGACAGTCGTCTGTCGGTTCCCCCGTCAAGAGACATGTGCAGCCGCTCGTTGGAGCACATCACCAAGCCGAACTGAACTCGGAAGCTGACATAGTCGGCAAAGAGGTTTCGGGCGTGGATCACAGTCTTGTGCTCGCTGTACAACTTCAGTGTGTCGGCCTGGAGCCGATGCGAGGCATTCATCTCTGGAAACGGCAGGAGGCGAGCTCCCCGGAGCTCCATATGCTGCGGAGTGGCCTGCTGGCTGTTGAAGCGGCGGGTCAGGAGATCGGAGTCGGGCATCGCACAGTACGTGCCGAACAAAGCCTGGCAGGGGTGGGAAATGAAAAACAAAGATAAATTTTTGGGGGCCCGTCCCTGGCCTGCAGCTGCGCGATCCACCAACTCTTTCCGTTCTTGCCCCCTCCCAGATAGATGTGAAATTCCTCCAGCTGGGACGTGCCGCAGAGCCTATGCGCTGCCCACTTCATCAACCACAGTGTGACCGCCATGTTTTCCCAGCAACTGTAGAGAACCTTGCACGCCTCGAGGGCGGGATGCTCGAACAACTTCAGCAACTTGTCGCCGAGCTCAGGCGGCATGTCCACAGCGCCGTACTCCTGCCCGACCCCGCTCTCGAAGTCCTTCACCTGTTGCAAGCATTCCTCCAAGTCCAGGTCCCGGTCCAACATCGCAAAGAGCTCTCGTGGGTAAGTCACCCCCAAGCATTTTGTGATGACGTGCTCCTGCTTGGCCAGCTGCGCGTCCATGGTCCGCACGTCGATCAAGCACCCGTCCTGTGTCATGAGCAGGCCCCTGTACTCGTCTCCGTCCACTTGCAGCTGGAAACTTTTGTCGTACAGGGCACGGTTTGCCGCCGTTTTGACAACGGAGCGCATTGATTCCCTGCGGTACACCGAGGCCGGCGGTAGCCCGCGCCAGGTGGGCGGCAAGCAGTTCTTGACCTCTTGGCTGGCATATTCGCACAGGAGCTCCTCCACATGCGCCGGGCTCTCCAGCTGCCAACGTCGCTTGACGGTGCAGAAGAAGGCGGTCTCCATGTGCTGCTTGGAGCAGCTGAAGTTTTTGAAGCACTCGCGAACCAGCCTGCCGTCTGGAGCGACATGGTGTGGGAGGATCGCAGCAACAACCTTCGGTCCCCTTCACCAAGTAGGCGCGGAGAAGCCGTCTGTCCTTGCGGCGGAGGGACTGAGATAGAAAGCAAGAGACCCGAAATTGAGACGCCAAAATGCTTTCAAAAGAACAACCGCCCCAACCAAGCGCCTGCTCCACCTGGAACCAATCATCATCTCTGCTCTGCCAGTCCAGGGTCGGGTGAAGCCGCTGGTACTCGGCCAGGATCTCCTCAAGAGACCGGTAGGCCTTGTGTTTCAGGGGCAAGCCAATCTTGTGCTGCAGGGACTCCGTAAGCTTGGCATGCTCTTCCGGGGGGCAAGCAAAGAGGACCCCATCATACTCCCAGCCGCAGACCTTGGCACCAGCGTGCTCCGCCATCATGTCCGTCACCTCCCGCTCCCGCAGCTCATGCAGCAGCTCCAGCAGCCGGCTCCTCCAATTTCCACTGTCCTTGCTCAGCTCCTGCGCAAGCTCCGGGTAGGCCTGTGCGTCACGGGCCGCCAACTTGCACATCTCCTGTCTCAGGATGAACACAAAGGGGGGGAGATGTTCGAGCTTGTAGCGCAGCATGAAGCGCTCGCAGTGCTCACTGCCACCGCCCATGAGGATGCCGTTGAAAAATTTCTTCACCTCATCCCGGTCCGGGACCCCGACTTCCGCGTAGCAGGCCTGCACCGTGGATGGGAAGGGAAGGGAAGTAAAAAACCTTTACAAAAAAGAAAGAAAAGAGAATCCCACACGGCCTCTCGGTTCTGCAACAAATACCGCACTTGCTGCGCGTCAGCGTGCCGGTGCAGCAAGGAGTATCCAACCGAGAAGGTCTGGTCGATGTCGCAGACCGGCAGGCCTGTCCGGCAGAGCTCCTTGAACAGCCTGCCAAAGCTGAAGGCCGACCGGGTGGCATCATAGGAGTCGACGCGCATCTCCGTCAAGGTGCTGACCACCTGCGGCAGCTCCCTGAACCTGCCGCACAGCTCCTCCTCATTGGTCTCGGTCTCGGGGTCGACCTTCTGCCTCTTGTTCTTGCTCTTGTTCTTCCCCAGCTCCTCGTAATCCTCAAGGTGCACGCCAGACACAAGCCGAGCCTTGCATCCGTGGCAAGCGCCACTGTCCCGGTAGACCGTGAGGATCATGCCACTGTTCTCGGTGTCCCGCGAGAGCAGGTCTGCTATGCGACCCCGCAGACCCAGCTGGCCGAAAGCGCGGAGGCTTCCCGCTCCTTCAAGGGCATGCACATTGATCGGCTCGAAAAGCCATTGGTCCACGTACAAGGACTTGTTCTTCTTTCTTGCTGGCGGGCAGTGCGCGGCCAACTGTTGGAACCGCGCGGAGCCTGGCAAGGTGGGCAAGGACCACACAACACCGCGGCTCTCCTCGGGCTTCTGGGCGGCATGCGCGGTCTCCACCATGTCATGCGGGGGCTCCTGGTCACCCGCCGCGTCCACGGGCGTCTTCACCTTGTCTGGCAAGACCTCCTGGCCCTCAGTCTCCACCTTGTCCTGCTTCTGCGCCGCGTCCACGGGCGTCTCCACCTTGTCCGGCAGGGGCTCCTGGACCTCAGCCGCGCCCATGGGCGTCTCCACAGACTTGCGAGCCGTCACCAGCTGAGATCTCAGCTGATTCACGGTGGCGCCAGGTTCGACGGGCTCGCCTTGGGCTTTCAGCTCCTCCTGCATCTCCACCCTGTTCATCCTCCTCACTTCGATCTTTGGCTTCTTGGCCAAGGGCTCGCTTTCCACTGGCTCCTCAGAAGACGAGCTGCTGGTCTCCAGCCTCAAGAACCTCCAATCTCCCACGGACTGCTGCTCCATGAGTTGCTTCAGCACCTCCATCCTCCCGGCATCCGTGTTGCTCTGGCCCATCACTGCATCGGCCACGCCCTGGGCTTTAGCATCGCCTGCAATGACAGCGCCCTGCAGGTCATCCCAAGGGCTCATGGGAGCGACTTCGCCCGTTGTCACCCGCCCGCGCCCAAGAGAGCCTGCAACCAAGTCGAAAACCATGGGTGGCGCTCTAGACGCCAGTGCTTCTATGTCAAGCAAAATCAGCTGCATGGGTCATGCATCAAGAAGGAAGAGGCAAAAATGTTGAGCAACATCTGCAAGGACAAGCACGTTTTCAAACTGCAAAGGCACTGACTTTTTCGGCTCTGGCTGTGGTCGTCATGGCCTCGGCAGCAAACCCACTGCTATCCCTGGAGTCCCTGGGGTCCCTGGGGTCCCTGGGGTCCCTGGGATCCGTGGGGTCCCTGGGGTCCCTGAAAAACTGTGGTGTCATCGGCAGCAATCAATCAACCCACTCGTGTCCCTACGTCCCCAGGGTCCCTGCGGTCCCTGAAGGTCCCTGGGGTCCCTGGGGTCCCTGGGGTCCCTGGGGTCCCTGAAAAAGGATTCTCTAGACTCGGGGTCCATCTCAATCTGCGATGCGAGGGCCTTCCCCTTCATTGGGTTGAAAGCGGATGCCAGAAGCAGTTATTTCGAAAAAAGGCTTCCAGAGGACCGCTTTTGGTAGGAAAGCCGGATAGGGCTAGACTGTTGTTTACCGCCAAAACGGACAAAAACAAAAAGGGACCCCAGGGACCCCAGGGATTCCAGGGACCCCAGGGACCCCAGGGACCCCAGGGACCTTGGGGACCCTGCAGACCTTAGGGACCTTAGAGATCTTAGGGACCCAGGGTCTTCAGAGTTCCTGATATGTCCAAATGATATTGGCCTGGACCGTCTCCAGCATCATAAAGTAGTTCAAAAAAGAAAATGTCGAACTCAAAGCCACATCATTTCCCAATTACAAACACGGATGTAAAAAACAAAACATCATGTAGAAACATATAAATATAAAGATACATATATATATATATATATATATAAATATCTAAATATATAAAATTTGTAGAAACACAATAATATAAATACATGGAAAGATGAAAAAATGACCAAATACAATAATATAAATACATAGAAATATATAAAAATGAGTACATGAAAATAAGCAATATGTATATATATGTAGTGGCTCCGATGGAAAACGACAGATGGCTCATTGCTCCAATGGAAATCCAACAGATGGATCGTTGCTCCGATGAAACAGCAGGGATTCTTGATCCAATGGAACAAGCAACAGATGGATGCCAAAACAACAGAAGCTCCAGCGTCCGCGATGTCCCTGGGGTCCCTGAGGTCCCTGGCGTCCCTGGGGTCCCTGGGGTCCCTAGGGTCCCTGGGGTCCCTGGAAACCGCAGTGTGTAGACAAGGATAGATGCACTTTGGGGCCCTGGCGAGACATCTCGATGGAAAAGATGTTGTTTCACGGCGCCTGCAGCAGACGGTTCAACACAACGACGCACAAGTGACCAGGGGACCCCAGGGACCCCAGGGACCCCAGGGACCCTAGGGACCTCAGGGACCCCAGGGACCCCAACGACCCCAGGGATTCCAGGGACCTCAGGGACTGCAGGGAGCCCACGCGACCCACAAACCCCTCTGCTGCCTTGATGATGTCGGTTTCGATGCCAAGAGTGTCCCACCAGTTCCTCACGACAGCATCTCAGAACCATCCAATGCGGCGAAACCGACACAAAAAAACCGAGCTCCGAAAATGGCCAGCGGCATCACCGGCATCAGACTCGTAGGATCATCACGGCATCCCCGCATCATCCAAACCTGGCGAACCGGAAAACAATGAAAACGTAGGGGGAGTAGTGTCCGGGAGCGCCAACAAGGATCACCCAAAACCCCGAAGATCGCCTCAGAACGCCCTCAAAACCAAGATACTCAGAAAATTGGGATGACGCAATTCACTTTACGGGGGGTTTCCCCGGCAGGAGGGTGTCCAACAAGAGAGCGACCCCAGGGACCCCAGGGACCCCAGGGACCCCAAAGACCCCAATAACCCCAGAAACCCCAAAAACCCCGGGGACCCAGCCAGGGACCCCAAAAACCCCAGGGACCCCAGGGACCCTAGGGACCTCAGGGACCCCAGGGACCCCAGGGACCCCAGGGACCCTAGGGACCTCAGGGACCCCAGGGACGTCAGGGACCAGGGATTCCAGGGACCTCAGAGACTGCAGGCCCACACGACCCACAAACCCCTCTGCTTGCCTTGATGATGTCGGCTTCGATGCCAAGAGTGTCCCACCAGTTCCTCACGACAGCATCTCAAAAAGCCGAGCTCCGAAAATGGCCAGCGGCATCACCGGCATCAGACTCGTAGGATCATCGCAGCATCCCCGCATCATCCAAACCTGGCGAACCGGAAAACAAGGAAAACGTAGGGGGGGTAGTGTCCGGGAGCGCCAACAAGGATCACCCAAAACCCCGAAGATCGCCTCAGGGCGCCCTCAAAACCAAGATACTCAGAAAATTGGGGTGACGCAATTCACTTTACGGGGGGAGCTACAGTTCCGGTGAAAACGCAGTGGGGGCCCCGGCCGGCCAGGTCTGCAGGATGCGGTCCAGCACACCTCGGACCCAAGCACGAGCACATGCGCAGTGGCACCAATCAAGTCGAAACAAAGCAAGTGCACCATCGACATCCAACGCACCGCACAGGCCCAGGCAGCATGTAGGTCAAACGAATCCTGGCACGGGCGGGGGTGTCATGGAACACTCCACACGGGCCTCGCCGGGCCAAAGGGATCAAGGTTGGTCCTAGGCCTGAAAGATCTGCTGACAACAATGACCATGACAACGGAAACAGTGAAAAGGCCCGGGCAGTACACCTCGATGTCAAACAAAGCCCTGGCACGCAGTTAAAAAGGTGACAAAAGGCAACTCCAAGGGCCGAGCAAATTCCAGAGTCTTGGCCACCCTGAATGCGGGCAAAGGGCAAGGACACGTGGGCACTTGGGCCGAAAAACCGCGCCTTACACCCCCGCGAGCGGCTCGCTCCCATCTCCCGGACCCCGAGTAAGGCCCTCAAAAGGCGGCAGCAAGCCAGGTCTCACCACAGAGCCCTCAAGTGCTCACAAGTCGACTGACAACATGAAAATCATGCAAAAACACCACGCCGTGCCATGCCAAACGAACTTCCGGAAAAACAAACATAAACAGGTTTTTTCCGGAAATGGCGGCCCTCGAGCCGCTTGAAGCGAGGGCCGACCAAACGCTTTTGGTCGGACCACTATTTTTCTCGCCCTATAAGAAAAGGACCGGCAAGCAAAGTCAAGATGACTACCATCGCCACTAGCGTCGCCCTGGGCGAGGTCCAGACCAGCCCCAAGGGAGCCAAGTCGGCGCCCTTGAGGTGCGAGGAGGGGAAGCCCATCGTCTGGCAGTCCGCGTGGACGCGCGTCCTCTGGGAGCCCAGCAGCTTCGGCGAGGACCAAGGAACCAGGCAGAACGCTTGCCTTGCGATGGAAAGGGATTCCGAGGCCTGGGCGGCCTGGGAGAAATTCGAGAAGAGGTGCGTTAACGAGCTGTCTTCACAGTCGAGCCGCATTTGGGGGGAAGGACAGGTGGCAGAGCTGCCTCAAGGAGTCCCGACGGGGAGCGACAAACTGGACGCGCGGAACGTCCGCTTCTGGGACACCGACGGCAGCAAGATCCAGAGGCCCGAGACTCTTGCCGGCTGCGAGTGTCAGGCCAACATCGAGGCCCGGCAGGTCTGGATCATGGGGAAGCAGTGCGGGTTGGTGCTGGAGGTGAGAGACCTGCTGGTGAAGCCGGGCACAGGCGGGGACTCCTGTCCCTTCTAAACCGGCGTTCTTTTAATCGCGGATTACAAACGTAAAAGAACAGGTTCGCGAAGACTCGTTTGGGGCCGCTCCATCTGGTCGTGATTTTTGCTCTGACACCGGGTGACAGCAAGGCCCCGGGGCACCCAGGGCACCCAGGGCACTCGGGGCACAGGGGAGGAGACAGGGGGCACGCAGGGTCCATCACGCCAGACGGGGGACGGTTGCCAAGTTGCCGCTCAAACCACTGTCCTCCAGGCATCAAATCCTCATGCAGTGTCCCTCCCATCCAAACAACCACATGCCACAAAATCGTGAAAAATAAAAATGTCAAGGTCAAGTCACGCAACTCCGCCACTTGCTCAAATAGCAAAGCACCACGCAAACCCCGTCACAACCTTCGATCCACGACACTGTGCCTGCCACTTGAACAGTGGTCGCACCACCCGCCACTTGTACAGCGGCCGCCACTTTCGCAGTGGCCCCCCCCCCCAGCACACGACACGACAGCGTCAGCTCCGTGCAATTAGGGTGCAATTAGGGTGCAATCAGGGTGCAAAAGGGTGCAATCCCAAAAGCGTGCAAAAACACACAAACACAGGCCCAGTTGGGCGAGCCAGTATCGAAATGGAGTTGGGCGAACCAGTATCAAGCCCCACCACCTCCTACCGGTGCCTGCTCGGCACTCCTAAGTGCCTGCTCGGCACATCTACCTACCAGTGCCTGCTCGGCACTCCTAAGTGCCTGCTCGGCACATCTACCTACCAGTGCCTGCTCGGCACTCCTAAGTGCCCGCTCGGCACTGCCCACCCGCCCCCCAGCGCCAGACCCTCGTAGTGCTTCGCCAGGATGTTCCACCTCACATCAGCTCGGCGAGGGCGTCACCTTCCTCAAGACAGGGGGTCAGGGTGCAATCAAAAGCAAATTCCATGCCAAAAACATGCAAAACCATGCACACCAAGCAAATGTCATGCAAAAATCCACACATCAAGATCCATTTGATGCCGCGCGCTTTGAGGCATCCGGGGGCGGAGCGGCCACCTTGATCGGACGACTTTTTTTTAACCAGCCTAAGAAAAGCAATCAAACCCAACAATGGCATCCTGGGCGAGGCAGCGGGAGCACATCAGGGAGGCGGTCGAGGCCGGATCGAGGGCCCGGGACACGGATGACGGAAGCCGTGTCTTGGGCTTGAGGCGGGGCCGAGGCGCCTACGCGTTGCTCCAGCGCGCGGACGGGAGCGTTACTAGGGCCGGGGAGGCCTACTTCGGCATGCTCGGGCAGCAGCCAGAGTCGAGGACCTTCGACCCAAGGCAGCCGCTGGTCAGGGAGGGCGCGGCCGACTACGTGCTACTGCAGAACGGGCAGCGGGGCCTAGTGCGGCGGCTGCGGGAGGACGGCACCTACCAGCTGACGAACCTAGGGAGGCGGTTCTTCAAGAACAAGTACTCGCAGCACGTAGCACACATCCCAGTGCTCATCAGGGGATGCGGCGGGCCGGCAAAAACGCGGGCCGGGCTTACGAGCGCAGGGACTGGCTCCCCGCAAATGTCCTGGGTGGGGAGGCCAGCCGGCAGCCCGACAGGCTGTCGGAGCAGCAAATACTGCAAAACGTCAAGCAGGAGACGCTGCGGCTGATAACCGCAGGGGACGAGGACCGCGCCGCCGGCAGGGCGCCCATCATGGAACTCAGCGACGAGACGTACTTCTACGACCCGGAGGGGGGGTGGGTGGTGTCCTCGGAGACGACGCAATACCGGAACAGCCGCGTACACGTAGAAACCATCCTGCGGCAGAGGCTGCGAGGCCTGCGCCGCGTGTCGTACCAACTGCCGTGCTTCAACAGTATCCTGGACTGCGCATTCGAGGATTCCGGGGACAACGCCTGCGTGCCGCGGCAGCTGGCTCAACTCTTGGGCGTGCCCTTCGAGGAGGTCTGCGGAGACTTCGACGCCCTTGCAGAGCACGACTGGCGCGCGCACGGCATCTCGCCGGTGGAGATACGAGCCTTCTGCGCGTGGGGCAGTGGGAACGGCGCGTTGGCCAGCCCGTTCCTGCGGCAGCGCACCACGTCCACGCCTTCGAGCGGTCCGCTGCCCGGGGCCCGGAAGCGCTGCTGCTGCCCGGCGAAGGCCTGCCGCACCGGCACGATGTGGTCGTGCTCGGCCAGCAGCAGCTTCTTCTGCCGCTGGCTCGGGGTGATCCTCGGCGCCTTGACCAGCGTGGAGAAAGCCTCGAAGCTCAGCGAGGCCAGCCTCTGCCCGCGGTAGTGCAGCCCCAGCCCCTTGGCCCATGCTTGCAGCAGCTCCCAGTCCTCGGGCAGCTCACGGATCACGCACTGCCCGCCCTTGGCGCGCAGCTTCCAAGCCAGACGCGCCTTGCCCACGCGCTCACCTACGCGTCAAGCCAGGGCCTGACGCTCCAAGGCAGGGTACACCTGGACACGCGCTCTGAGCACTTCACGCTGCGCCACCTCTACATCGGCTGCAGCCGAGCCACCTCCAGCAACCTTCTAGAGGTCGTCTAAAACTGAAAAGGGGTCGCAGCAGAACAGTAGCGTGGCGGGTCCAGT